AAAAAAAAAAAAAAAAAAAAAAAAAAATTGTTTTCAAATCTATTCAACACAAATTTATTACTCAGCTTTTTATAAATATAAAATTTAAATCTATGCTAATATATCAATTAATTTTTAAAATCTTTAAATTTGTTATAAATTTATAAACCAAATTTAAATATATATTACAACACTTTTCTCCGATCTTTTTTTCTACTTTTTGTCTCCAATATACAATCTTTTTAATTTTCTTATTTTTAAATCTTTCACAAAATACTTATTTTCCCTTTCTCGAAAACTATAAATAAAATCTAAATTTTCATCTTATTTCACCCTTTAATTTTACAATTTTATTTACTTGTTTTGAAAACTTCAAATTAAATATTTGATATGTATTTAAGTTTGAACCTATTTAATTTGTTGTTTGTTCAAAAAAATTATTTTGATAATATCAAATACGTCCGTCTTATTATCATTATTAAACATATGATATTATTGTTATTAAATCAATAATAGAAGTGGAGAATAATTTTTTAAATAACTATTTGTTTTGTTTAAATTTTTTTTGATAATATATTATTTAGTCTATGTATTTTAATTTATTGAAAAATATAAAAATATTTCATTAAAAAATAATATTTTTTTATCAAATAAATGAAACTTCATATATCAAAATAACTCTACAAAGTTGACAAAAGACGTTGAATATATAATTTATGTAAAATAGAAAAGTAAAAAGGAAAATAAAATTCCCTTGACAGTACCACTCGGACTTTATGAAAAAAAATGTTATTTCGATACGATACTAATATATTTCGTGTTTTTACAACCGTCAGATTTATAGATAAAGTATATTTTGTACTATTTTTTATTTATTTATTTGAGGTGAGTTTAAATTCGAATTTCTAACTTTTAAAAAATATATATATAAAATGTTGAGTGAGTTGTCATTGAGCATTTTTCATATATATAGTCGTATAAAGTTATAAACTAAATGGCCACAGAGATGGGACCACATTCGGATGGCCACACGCTTTACTGACGCTATCATGCGTGCTCTTGGATTCGTGATCATTATACAGAATTGCCCTGGAGGTTGAGGCTTTGAATCAAGGACTTTTGTGTAATTTTCCATCAATCTGTTCAATTCTATACTTTTTAAATGGAGATTAAACCATCCAGTTTCCTTTAAAAAAAAAAAATAATAATAAATAAATAAAGTTTTCTACGCTAAAAAATTAATGATGGGGTAAAGAGTGAAGCCCAAAAGTGTATGGGCTGTTAAACGTTTAGAATCCACAAGGCCCACTTGAATGGGCTGAGTTGGCATAGTTTGGCCCATTAACACACGGATGCATAGGCATTTTAGATTGGTAGATTGGTTTTCAATGATGCATTCATTACAAAATAATTTATTTCCTTAATTAGATTTCATACTAAAAATGTTTAATTCCAATATTTTTGTAAATATTTCATCACATGGTTTAATAATGTCATTCATGCGACCAAACTAGTCCTGATTCTATACATTAATATTTAATAAAATTCATGCGTTGGTTTGCATGCGTCAGAAAAACTACACTTTTGTTTTGTTTTTTTTTTCATTTCTTATTTACGAATAAACCATTTTTTTCCCTCTTCCAACCAATTATCTGATGTGGATTATAAAAATAAAAAAGAAACAATTAAACAAAAAATAATAATAATAATAAAATTAAAAGAAGAAGAAGAAGAAGAAAATATGGCTTTGCCTCTTTACGTCTGCAAAGGACATGCTTCTCCATAGGCTCCTCAAAAGCGAGATTCCAAATTCCCACTGCCACCTTTACACATTTTAATTCCTTTTATTTTTGTTTTATTTTATTTTATTTTATTAATGCAACTTGTTTATAGCATATACAATTATGATGTATCTATTTTATTGGAATATAATAATTTTAACTTTAATTAGTTTTATTTGAAATACATTCAATTATCTACCTCGTCGTAGTATTTTATTTATATTTATTATGTTCTACATACTATATTGAAATAAACAAAAGAAATAGACGAAGTGATAGTGATGCCAAGTGAATGTGATAAAGGGTTTATAGAATAATAAGGACCACAAATATTTAACAAAAAAAATGATGGCCTTACAATGGCATAAAGACGCTTAAGCTACACTATAATGTATTCTAAAAATAAAAATTAATTCTATTGGTGGAGAAAAATGGAATTTGTGGTCGCATTTAGTGATGGAAATTGGAAAACGACCCAATATTTTAAATTTTATTATTATTCTGAACGCTAAAATTTAACCAAAATAATTAATTCAATAAAATATAATAAAAGAGAGTTCAAATGAGGATCCAACGTGAGCCGCCTAAAAATATTATAAATTTAAGTCCAAATATTAAATTCACATTTTAAATTGGACGAGTCTTCGTATTTTTCTATGGAATACTAATTATAATAATAAAAATTTCGTAACCCACCAGAAAAGTTTATTTAAAAATTAAAAGAAAAAAGAAATACGAGGAATTTGATAGCCATAGAATCTTTATTTTTATTTTTTATTTATTTTTAAGCTAAGAATCTTCCAATTTTTTTGGTGGCTCTTTTTTAAGAGAAAAAATTTGATACTATTTTTAAATTACCAATAATAGTTATGAAATATATTTTAGATATTAGTTTAATATTTTTTTATTTTTTTTTGAGTTATTAGTAATATATTTTATCTTAGAATCTGATTAGTAATATAATTTATTTTATTTATTCGATTTAATTAATTATATATTTTTTCTATTAGTTAATAGTTTGTATACGGTTAGTTTCAATCTCAATTGTATTTTTATTTTTAATTTTTAATTGAATGATATGGAATAAATTTTTAATCCAATGCTACACATTTTTATTTTTAAAAGTTAAACAAATAAAAATGGAAAAAACATTTTAAAAAAAAAAAGATTAAAATAAAATTATGTTTGTACAACACAAATTAAAACTACTTTATTTTCCAAAAGTAAAGCACTAAAAAAACATTTTTTTTAATGGGAGGCTTGACCATGGGGATCCCGGTTGAAGTACGTGACGAAAGCGGTGAGCGCCGCGCGTATAGGGGACTTGAATTCTGAACCAGTAATTATCAGCCACGTAAGCAAAAAGACGAGGCGGCTCTAATCCGTAATAGCGTCCAGGTTCAATGAATCACAAACGTCTTCCTCTCTGGACCATCGATATTTATCGTTCCATTTTGCTTTCAGTATCAAATTATCAATACGGTGTTGGAAAGCTCAGAGGAACACAAATTTCTTAGAAAGAGCATTCGAAGAAGAAGCTTTTGGAGCGAGTTCGATTCTACAATGGCGCTTGCTTCAACTTCTTCAGCTTCTGCGATTACCGGTTCCAGTTTCTCTCGCTCCATTTCCGCCTCTGAGCCTAAAGGTGCTTTTAATTTTTTTTTTTTTTTTTGTCACTCAATGTCTGTGCTTTTATGGATTGCGGAGAAGCGTGTTGGTGGATGGAAAACAAATTATTCTTTATGTTTAATTAGATTCGCTAATTCCTCTTATGGAAGCCATTATTTTGTCAACCAATGGCTGCTTGTTCAATTCTAGATTTGCCTTCTTCTTCTTCTTTTTTTTTAATGTTGAAATTGACATCAAAATGGGCAATGAGTCCACTATTCTTCATTGGAGACAAGCGATTCTTCGTTTGACCGTTTTAATTTGTTGCCCTTTTTGTTATGAATGGCTAGATTTACGTCGCCGTGTTATAGTATTTTGCTCAGAGTTTCTGTACTCCTCTTTAACAGAATCGTTTTTCAATTGGTCTTTTCTATACTCAAGTCTGATGTGTTTGTTGGACCTTTGCAGCACCGCAAATTGGTTTGGTTAGGTTGTTCAGTCGGCCTAATTTGCCAGCCTCGTCTGTTTACTATTCGCAGAGACGATGCTCTGTAGAGCCTCTACATGCCGAATCAAAACGGAACGACTCCGTTGCTCCTCTGGCAGCTTCCTCCGTTGCCCCTGGTGGGTCTTCTTTCTCTATGTTAATTTTCGTTAATTTTCCTAGCAGGTATTCTTGATGGCTTTACGAGGGCTTCTGAGTAGGAATTTGGTTTTGGCAGTGAAATTGATTGATGTGTTTATACATTCATTGCAGGGGTGGTTGAGGAAGTGCAGGTTGAGGACTACGAGGGTTTAGCTAAAGACCTTGAAAATGCTTCACCCCTTGAAATTATGGACAAAGCCCTAGAGAAATTTGGCAATGATATTGCTATTGCTTTCAGGTAACACATCTGAACCGATCAATATGGCAAAGTTAATGTCTAGATGTGTATTAATTATTCTTAATATTTTAAACACTTTCATTAAAAATTTGTTGGAATCCAGTGCGGCCCTCTTAGGAGAAATGCATATAAAATTTTACCTTGTATGCGGATTTTGCCGTAATCCTAACTTTTCAGAAGAAAAATGGATTAATAATTAAAAGGCTTTCAAAATTTCGTTGGTCAGCGGCGCTAATGGCACTTCAATCATTCTCACGTTTTTCTTTATTTTTATTGTGCAAGAAATTAAGTTTTTAATGTTCTTTCCTGCAGTGGTGCTGAAGACGTTGCTTTGATCGAGTATGCCCATTTAACTGGTCGGCCATTTAGAGTTTTCAGCTTGGACACTGGAAGATTGAATCCAGAAACATATAAATGCTTCGATGAAGTGGAAAAACATTACGGCATCCATATTGAGTACATGTTCCCTGATGCTGTTGAAGTTCAAGCATTAGTCCGAAGCAAAGGGTTGTTTTCCTTTTACGAGGATGGGCACCAGGAATGCTGCCGTGTGCGCAAGGTGAGGCCTCTGAGAAGGGCCTTGAAGGGACTGCGAGCATGGATCACTGGTCAGAGGAAAGACCAATCCCCTGGAACCAGGTCTGAAGTTCCTGTTGTGCAGGTGGACCCTGTTTTTGAAGGGCTGGATGGTGGTATTGGTAGCTTGGTCAAATGGAATCCGGTTGCTAACGTTGGCAGTAAAGACATATGGGACTTCTTACGATCCATGAATGTACCGGTTAATACATTGCACTCACAAGGATACGTCTCAATTGGGTGTGAACCATGCACGAGACCTGTCTTGCCATGGCAACATGAGAGGGAAGGAAGATGGTGGTGGGAGGATGCGAAGGCTAAGGAATGTGGTCTTCACAAAGGAAATCTTAAGCAGGAAGATGCAGCCGAGCTAAATGGCAATGTAAAGGGAGAGTCTACAGATGTGGATATTTTTGAGTCTCAGAATTTGGTGAGCTTGACAAGGGATGGAATAGAGAATTTGGCAAGATTGGAGGGTAAAAAGGAACCATGGATTGTTGTTCTGTACGCACCTTGGTGCCGCTTCTGTCAGGTAAGATGCCATGTTTTAATATAATCTCTTATTTTCCTCGTCATTTCACGATGATATTACCCATCTTTATTACGAGATTGTTTACAATTTCCATCTATTCAAATTGAGCAGGCAATGGAAGGCTCCTATGTTGAATTAGCTGATAAGCTAGCGGGGACAGGAGTGAAGGTTGGGAAGTTTAGAGCCGATACGGCGAAAGAGTTTGCACAGCGAGAATTGCAGCTAGATAGCTTCCCCACCATACTCTTCTTCCCTAAACATTCCTCTCGGCCGATCAAGTACCCCTCGGAGAAGAGAGATGTTGACTCGCTTATGGCTTTTGTGAATGCTTTCCGATGATCAATTACACAGTTGAGGCCCTACACCTATACAAAAATGAGGCCAGCGATTGAGTCAATGACACAGTTGACACAGGATGCAGTCTAAAATTTTCGCATAATCTAGAGTACCGTTATTCCATGTAGGTTTTTGGGGTTTGGGTCTGTCCTATCTTTATAGTCTCGGTAAATATCCGTGTAGGATTGATTGTTGTTGTTATCAAATCGACCAAGGATAAACAGTAAGTTTGTTATGAAATTCAGGTTTGATTAAGTGGAATGTTTTGAGTTTCCCTTCTCAAGAACTTGGGATCCTTTAACAATACATCATTTGGTCCACGCCGAAACCAATATCAATCACAAGTGCTCAGGATCTTTCGATTCTGATAAAATAGAGCATTCAATTAGATGTTCAACTTGATGGAGTATCATCAGGTGCTTCCAGTCTTAAATAATCGTATAAAAGTCCACAGAGTTCATCTCCACCTCTTGCCTGCGTCAGAAATATGGAGTTATCTCCCTTAATAAGCATTGATGATGGAATCTCAACACTATAATTTCTATACAGTCCATGATTTCCATGTCGGCAAACTGTGTTATCCATTCCCAGATTCATCAGCTGGAAAACCAGTGACGACTCCGACCCCATTGAGTTGACATTGATCTGCAGGCATAAAATGAAACAGTTTATGAGAAACCAAGAGCAAGCCTTTTCTCCAACGTTTTCCTGCTTGTTTTTTTGTACCTTTAAGTCCGAGCGTGTTGCGGATGCAATCGCCAACCTCAGCCGATAAGTTCCTTCGGTTAATGATGTCATGTTGAACTTAATACTCCATGTTGTCGCAACATACTTACCATCTTCCCCTCTTCTACAGAATAATAGCAGTCACCGTCAAGTGAATTTTAGCGTTCATTTTGTCAATATATATGATGGGTTGCAAGTACGAACCTGCAAACTTGAGCAAAGAACCAATCTTTTTTCGGATCATTGATACCCACAGTGAAGACTTGGTCATTTATTGGATGTAAATCACTGTATCCCTCCCATAAACCATATTGCCTGAACCTGGATTTGGTACACACAGTCAGATACAGGATATATTGCCTACAAATTTCCATGTAACCAAGTGTAACTTACTTTTCAGGGCTGTGAAGAAATAACTTGTTGACATACATCGGATTCACATCAGGAACATAGAAGCTACCAGCTGTTCGGTCAGGAAAACCAATCTCCCAAACAGTAGGACCATCTCTGAGGGGACTATAGGTCAGAATGCCAAGATGGGTATGAGATCCTGATCAATATCAACAACTATCACAACTAGTTGAAGAAGTAGCATCGTAATAATTGTATTAGACGTAGGAAACAGATAAACTTCAGTGAAGAACAGCAAAAGGACCTGCAGATACTGTTACTAGTGATTGGTGAAGATAATCACCAATGAATCCAGGAACCCAACCGTGAAGTCCATAGACTCCTGGAATAACGTTTCTGATAGTGAAATCTCCATTGGAATCTGTTTGTACCCAAAATTGATATTCCTAGACGAAGTTATGAAATCAAAGTTGTTATTAAAGTTAACGAGAGTTACAAGTGCAAGAAAGTTCCTGTCCTAGGAGAGGTAAGGAATAGCTTTCACCTTGCTCTCTATTTGCCAGCCACCTTCTTCTCTAGCAGAAGATAAACCAACATGTGCATCTCTTGCAGGGATGGGGGAACTTGAAATAAACCTGGCGAGAGAACGAGAGAGAAAGTCACCGAAAGGAAAATCACCATTCCTTAGAAATGGAAACCAATTTTACCTGTCTTGGACTAACAGTCTTCCTGAAATGGAACCACGTTCATTTTCCTTGAAATAAAAAGATGAAGACACAAAATTGTATGGCCATGCTGTTTCCTCTAGCACTCTCTGTCACGAGGCTGTGGATCAGTTCCCTGCAACATGTTGAAGAATGCAGGCACAGGTTGAGAGAGTTGGATATCAAACAAATACCTGTTCTTTTGCATCTATCCATAAATTGTGTGCCTCTGATACATCTGAGGTGGAGTTCAGGTAAACAAGAACAGGACCAAACACCTTCCTCCATGCCTCTCCTTCCTTAATATGTGTAAGTATATCTTCTCCAATGTAATGTGTTCCATGAAACATCTGTTGCATCAGATGATCAAACATTTCTTCTACACCAAATGTTATGACCATTGAATTGGAGCGAGGTAAGAAAAAAACTTACAGCAAGACATGTAGGACCGGTATGAACTGTGAGATTTTGCTTTGTTGGACCGCCATTTCGGAACTCATGGCTTGGAAAAACTACCCAGAAACCTATGTTGTTTGGGCTGGAACTAATCCATCCATGAACTCCACCATCTTTGTTATCCACTGAGTATTGGTACTTATCATCTACCTGCATTTAGTCCATATGTTCAAGGAAATCCTTTTGTCTTGTGCAGGTAAAGCAAATAATTTAGGCATACATTCTCACCTCTCCTTTCAGATCAGGATTAATGGGATTTACAAGCAGAACTGACTCCGGTACAATTAGTTGTTCACCTCTGCCTGGATGCAAATCTTCCGGCATTGGCATTATTCTTTGCTTCTCATCTGAAATTGCGATGTAGTGGAACCTAATTTGACCCTAAATTGGTCAAGAAGAAGGAAATGGAAGTAGCAAGCCATGCATAGGCTGGGGCAGAATACTACTTACTTTTCTTGTCGTAGTTTAAACACCATTCTTGTCTGAACAAGATCGAAAGCCCGACATGCCGATGGGTGCTCGTAGATTGCATAGCAATAGAAGCCTGGCATACCAGTCCTCATTATGTACCTAGAGGACAAATTAGAAGCCTGAGATATTCAGCAGAATTTAGAGATCTTATTTGAATGTACAACCTTATGTCTACACTAAGTGGAAGTTTGTTGCCTCGAGTTGATGGGTTGAAAACTTTCCTGAACGATATCTCGATCGTGTCGTCAGTTGCGTTGATGACATTAAACTCAGAGCCCTTAAGCCTGCAGATTTAAAAGGATTCAAGGTTAGTCTCCTCAATCGTGTCGTCAGTTGAACGAGATCTCGATCATGTCGGTCAGTTTCCTATGATTTGAGGACAACAATCTAACAATCTAATGAAGGTAGCATACAATTGGTATCTGTCCTTGCCTCCAGGCCAACTCCAGTTGGTATCCCAATATCTGCACACAGGAAATAAGTCTCAAAAGTAGTTGCATGGAATCCTCCCGAGTGTCTGAAAATTGAGTTACCCTCTTTTAGATTCGCTGGATTTGACATCTAGCAGATTGTCCATGTTTCCATACTTGATGCCACTAACATAGCCTTGGGGGTTGGATATGGTCACCATCAACAATCCATTGTCCAATATAACCTGCAAAGAATCATAGAGCACACAAAGATTACAGAGAAGATGATGACGAGGAAACAAGAGTCATAGGGCTGCTCAAAACTAACATGGGAGCCTTGGTTTTGCAGCCTCAGCTTCTTCTTCTTCCCCATTGTACAACCTCTACTTTTGTTACCATCACTCTCATCTTCTTTCGTATATAGGTCAGCTGGTCGTTGGTTACTAAGAGCATCACAAGATTTGGACACCTTCTTTCTTGTTTGCATCAAACTACAATTATGATATCAAAAAGTAACGAAGAATTGGCTTTACATTTTTGTAAGTAGCTTTTCAAAGTACCATTTGACGTTCTCGTCGTCGTCGTCTTCATAACTTTTCTATATCATCGTACTCGAGAGCAGAGCCCTTCTCTGTGGTTCGGCACCATTCCCTCTGAGTCCCCGCGAATTATTATTATTATAATCATCATCATTCTTTTATATAGTCCACGCATAAGTTCTCATGACTTTGCTTTCGCATTTCCCAAAGGTCCTCACCCTAATAGAGAGAACATTTTCTTTACTTCCCAAAGGCTCTCACCATAATGGAGAGAGCATCTCTTTGCTTTCGCCTTTCCCAAAGGTTCTCACCATAATGGAGAGAGCATTCTCTGTTTATAAACCTATGATCATTTCCTAAATCAAATGATGTACAAGCGGCCAAGTTCCAATCTTTTTTAAAATAAATAAATAAAAACAGTTTTTTCTTTGAAATTCATGAAAATGTCAATAAGGCTTATCAAAAGTCAAAGATCCAGCGAATTAAATAATAATAATAATACACAACGGCTAAAAAAATATTCAACCAAAATTGTATCTATGTATATTGGTCAACAATGATTTTTACTATACACGATTGGATGAACAGAATGTTTCTCATCCCAAAGAATCAACGAATCAGAACTTCAAAATAATAATTAAAATAAATAATCAAAACAGTTTGCTGGCGAATTCATCCATGGAAATCCCTTCTTGTCTAGCCGCAGAAGATTTGGCAGCCAATTGTCTGAGCTGAGATAAGCTTCTTCCCAATTTCAAAGCCACCTTCCTTTCAAACACTTGCCCATTTTCCCTCTTCTCCCAATCTGTCTCCTCAAGCGTCCCTCTAATGGATTCCTCCATTACCCCGAAGAACCCCGCCGAGTTTCTGTACATCTCAAACACCATCCCAATTTGCCCACCGTGCTCTAACGCATTCACGGCGGCCGCCAAAGAACCGGCCGCCGCCGCCACCACCATCCCCCCGGATGACCAATCACCCACAAAAGCAGAGCCCAAAGCCGCAATGCCGGTGAGAAGAGGGCCCGAGATTGCCAAAGTTTTATTAACCTTCAATACTATATTCCCAAGTCTGACGTAGTCTTGAGCGTCTTTTGTCTTCACGACTTCAACAACTTCTCTCATTTCGGCTTCAAGTTGATCGCTCCATCCATTGGAACCTTGTCGTTGGTTTCCATCAAAATGGGAGTTTTCGTTCTCCGTCTTAGATTCGTCAGAATGAGAAGAATTGGGCCACCATGAAGCCGGCTCGAGCTTTTTGGGGAATTTTTCAAGCATTACACCAAGTAAAGGAAGTGGGTATGCTTTATCAAGCGCCAACACCTTTTCCATGGCGGAATCGACGTCCCTTTGAGTGGGAGCTCCAACCGTAATCAAGGTTTGGATTTGGGTTTGGAGCTGCTTGAACAATCTCGCTGCATTTCGCTGCTCCTCAGCCAGCTGAGAGGGTTGGATTTTGTTAACCATAACCAACATCCCTGTTGCGGCAGAGAAGAGCAGAGCCGAGGACAATTTGAAAGCCAAAAGAGGAGCTCCAAGGGCTCCAACAGCGGGTGCGGTGGCGGCCATAACAGAGGCGGCGAGAGTGATCATGTTGATGGAATTGAGTAAAAGGGAATTCCAGTTGTCACGCTGTTGGCAGATATTGTTGTGCATCTCTACCCGGTCGGCTACGATGTCTAAGATGGCGTGGAGGTGCGATGTGAGGGGGGATTGGGTAGGAGGAATGATATTAAGGGGTTGGTTTAAACAAAGGTCTTCAATGAGTTTGAGGGAGGCGGTGGAGGTTTTGGGGAGTCTGGGAACAGAGATACGGAGATTGGGAAGCTTTGGGACGTGAATGGAAGCTTGGGTAATTGTTTTTCTTGAAGATGGGAGGAGAAAAGAAGCTTGTAAGGAAGCCATTGTTGGAACAAGCTTGGAGCTTCTATCTAATGGGGGCTTGTTTGAGAACGCTTTGTATGGAATTGAAGTGGGAGGGTACCCAATGGTGGCTGGTTTTATAGGGGAAACGAATTGAAGGGTCAGATAGCAAGAAATTTTGACTAGCAGGCTGAATTGACTCGGCTACCTAGCTGACTCGTGCTTCCTGACTCGTTCCCCCCCATTTTTGTGTTTAAAATTAGGATCTGTTCAAAAATATTACCTTTTTCTCGCTTGGATTAGGTCTCCCAAAACAACCATGCCGTATCATCCTACGTGGTTCTACATTTGAATTGAATCATTTTTTAATATAAGCATTAAATAAAAATTTATACAAATAAAAAAATTAAGCATTAAATATTTTAAAACAAAACTTTAGTAAATGATCGTAAATTGATTCACTTATCGAGTTAAATCAAAACATATAATCTCCCAAATTTTAAGTATAAATGGAATCTATTTTCTTATTTTATTTAATTTTCATTTATTAATGAACTTTAAATGGATTCTTAATGATATGCCAGATCTAGAGTATGTTAATTCACTTGGATAATTTTCATTTTTTTTATATAGTTTAGTTTCTTAATTTTTTTTTCTTCAAATTGATGTCATATATAAAATTTAATATTTCTTTTCATAATTACGTTTTTACTTTTATTTTTTTAAAAAAAATCGGTTGTATAAACATTACTTCATCTATTAATTTGTTTGTTTGGCCCTTTCTGCCAATATATTAAAATATAAAAAAAAAAACATAAATATTGAAAAGAAAAAAGAAAAACAGAAAAATAAGGAAAGAATGAGAACTAAATTAAGAGATGGTCATCGTTGGACTTGGTCCCCGAGCATAACGACGCCGTATGAGGCTATACGCAAGCAAGCAGTAAGTTGACCGTTGATTTGTTGTATGCCTTTGAATTGACAATTAAGTCTATTATTTTAATCAGTCCATGCAAACATTCAGGACGTATAAAATTGTTGGTTTTTCGGTTTTTTTAAGCTATCGTGTCGTGGTTATATATATATATATGTGTATATATATATATATATATTATTACTATAAATAAATAATAAATAACATATACTTTAATTTGTCTAAATGTTATAGGTTTGTCCAATTTAATTGTGGTCAAATAATTCGACCCACTCCATAATATTTTACCCATTGTCAATTACATCACTCAAATGACATTAATAATCTCTTTCTTCTACATCCAACTTTCTTATTTCCATTTTTCATCCTTTATTTATATTACTATTTTTTTTAACAACTTGAGTTTAATTAATTGATTCAATATCATATTTTATTTCATGAATAAAGTAATATTCCAACCAATTTTTTATTTTTGTGTAGGATCTTCTCTTTCTCATTTTTTCAATAAAGATGAAAACTGTAATTATATTGAGTCACCAATAAAATTAGACTTGGGGGAACTGAAAACAATTAGTCAAACATGTAAATTTGACTAATTGATTTATTTATTTGGTTTTGGAGAAAAAATATATTTTTATCGATAAACTTATAAAATTGTATCCTTTTTAATTTTTGAAGTCGATGAAATTGTTAGAGTTGTTGTCGTTTGGATCTCATTCACTACTGTCATTGTTGGTGATGACATGGAATACGAAGAAGAATATAAGAGTGTGGTTGTTTATGTGGATATCCTATTTTTTAGAGTTAAATTTCTTATTTTTATGATTGTGGCGGTTTCGTCTAGAATAATTTAGTCGTTCTTAACATTTTTTTTTAAGTAATAATACATGACATTGTGAAGCTTGTACTTCTCTACCATATTTAATTATAATTGGAAAATTTAAGTAAGATTTAATTAAATATTAAATTCATNTTTTTTTTTTTTTTTTTTTTTTTTGTAATAATTAGTTTTATTTAGCTAAAATGGTTTAATAATTTTTTAAACTTTAGAAGTATTTAATGGCTTCCCACTTTTCAATTTTTTTGTTTAATATATTTACCATCTAAACATTTTAACTTTTTGGTCGAATATAATTTTTATTTCAAAAATTGTCATATAGAATAATAATGTATCAGATAAAAGTAAAGATTAAGAGATTATTATTTAAAAAGTATATATAGAAATATGTTAAATGAAAGATTCAAATCTGTAAAAAAAAAATATATATATATATATATATATATATGGAAATATTTTAAATGAGAGATTCAAGATATCTCTTTAAAAGTAAAACTCATTAATAAGTGTGATTTTAATCCAAAGGTAAATTCGGATTATCAATATATATTATTATTATTATTTTTTACATGCTCGGATGAACATAACGTACGTTTCCCATCTCAAGGAATCAGCCGATCAGAAATTGTAGAATGATAATAATAATAATAATAATAAAATTAAAAAAAAAAAAAAAAAATCAAAAGAGCTTGCTGGCGTATTCATCCATGGAAATCCCTTCTTGTCTAGCCGCAGAAGATTTGGCAGCCAATTGTCTGAGCTGAGATAAGCTTCTTCCCAATTTCAAAGCCACCTTCCTTTCAAACACTTGCCCATTTTCCCTCTTCTCCCAATCTGTCTCCTCAAGCGTCCCTCTAATGGATTCCTCCATTACCCCGAAGAACCCCGCCGAGTTTCTGTACATCTCAAACACCATCCCAATTTGCCCACCGTGCTCTAACGCATTCACGGCGACCGCCAAAGAACCGGCCGCCGCCGCCACCACCATCCCCCCGGATGACCAATCACCCACGACGGCGGAACCCAAAGCCGCAATGGCGGTGAGAAGAGGGCCCGAGATTGCCAAAGTTTTATTAACCTTCAATACTATATTCCCAAGTCTGACGTAGTCTTGAGCGTCTTTTGTCTTCACGACTTCAACAACTTCTCTCATTTCGGCTTCAAGTTGATCGCTCCATCCATTGGAACCTTGTCGTTGGTTTCCATCAAAATGGGAGTTTTCGTTCTCCGTCTTAGATTCGTCAGAATGAGAAGAATTGGGCCACCATGAAGCCGGCTCGAGCTTTTTGGGGAATTTTTCAAGCATTACACCAAGTAAAGGAAGTGGGTATGCTTTATCAAGCGCCAACACCTTTTCCATGGCGGAATCGACGTCCCTTTGAGTGGGAGCTCCAACCGTAATCAAGGTTTGGATTGGGTTTGGAGCTGCTTGAACAATCTCGCTGCATTTCGCTACTCCTCAGCCAGCTGAGAGGGTTGGATTTTGTTAACCATAACCAACATCCCTGTTGCGGCAGAGAAGAGCAGAGCCGAGGACAATTTGAAAGCCAAAAGAGGAGCTCCAAGGGCTCCAACAGCGGGTGAGGTGGCGGCCATAACAGAGGCGGCGAGAGTGATCATGTTGATGGAATTGAGGAAAAGGGAATTCTAGTTGTCACGCTGTTGGCAGATATTGTTGTGCATCTCTACCCGGTCTGCTACGGCGTCTAAGATGTGGTGAAGGTGTGATGTGAAGGGGGATTGGGCATTAATGGGTTGGTTTAAACAAAGTTGTTCAATGACGTTAAGGGAGGCAGTGGAAGTGTTTGGGAGCGTGGGAACTGAGATACGGAGATTGGGAAGCTTGGGGTCGTGAATGGCAGCTGGGGCAATTGTTCTTCTTGAAGAACAAGAGGAAGAAGGGAGGAGAAATGAAGATATTGTAAGGAAGTCATTGTTGGAACAAGCTTGAAGGGTTTAGAACTGGAGTGGGAGGTTATGGAATGGTGGCTGAGTTTTATAGAGGAAATTAATAAAGAGAGGAGAGATAAATCACAAGTAACGAAGCAAAATCCAAACTTCTATGTTGGTGGGAAAGAAATCAACCTTAGCCATGTAAATGATTAATTACCTTTTATTTTCTGTTTCCTATTTCCCATTCACTATAAGATTAACTTGCTTTTTAACAACTTTCCATTTGGGGATTGGAAATGAGTTCACTTGTTGCTTGTATTGTTGAAACAAAACAATGGGTCTCTCGCTCATGCCATCACTGCCTCAACCCATGCTTTATGGATGCCTTTACATTCAATATTAAAAAAGCCCAGGGACCTTTCAACCAAAAAGTGAGATCCCGGAGAGGTAAATGAATGTAACGGGTCCTCCTTAGGCTTTTCCTTCCTTCCAGATCTACCGCTACCAAATATTGTCCTCTTTGGACTTTCCACACTCTTCTAAACCGTGGTTTGTTCTCCTCCTAACCGATGTGGGACATCACAATCCACCTTGGTTGGCAAGGAGAACAAACCATCATTGATAAGAGGGAGGAAGCACGAGAGAGAAAGTCCAAAGAAGACAATATCTGGGTAAAATTGAAATTTTTTTATTTTGAAAAAAAAAAACTAATTCAATTGAGGGGGAATGGAATGGAATGAAGCAAAATAATAAATAGAATAAAAAGAAGAAAAAAAAAAGGAATAGGAATATGAAGAAGAAGTGAAGTGAGCTAGAACGTGGGAAGGCCACGCCTTTTGTGTCTTTGGTTTGTAAAATCCATAATTTATTTAATTAATGCTTCGGCTGTGTAAGGGGTTCGTTGGTGCTCAGTGATTACCCGCACCTTCCCTCCTCCATTGCTTCCTTCCATAACACAACCCATCTCATGATATTTGGCCATCATTTTTGACACCTTCCCCTTGCCCCCGCCTAAATTCCATCCCATCACCCTACCCTCTCACGCCAAGATCCAAAATCTGCAAATCAATCCCAATTTTATTTCTCCAAATGATTCAGCTATTGTTCACGCTGATTGCATCGGAGATGCTTCTCATACTGCTCTTCTCCTTCAAAACCCCTCTCAGGAAGCTTGTCATCTTGGCCGTCGATAGGATGAAGCGCGGACGCGGTCCCATTATGGTCAAAACCGTCGCCGGAACTGTTCTTATAGTTCTCCTTTCCAGTCTTAACAGTATGGTTACGATCCAAAAACGTTGGGTTGATGACGGTGCCGTCACCCCCACCGATCAGGTTCTCATGGTCAGGCACCTTCTCGAGGCCACGCTCATGGGTAAACCCAACCTTTTCATTTTCTTCCGTGTTTCGATTCAAGATTTCCGACCCATCCATGTCTTTTCCCCTCATTGGTTTTCCCGTGTCTGAATTTGATCTTGCCTCTTAGAATGTGGATTTGTTCTGGGAATGATTTGTCTGAAATCCTTGAGGAATTGCGTCCAAATTTAGAATGCGCTCGATTTGATTTGATTTGATTTGATTTATTTTGATTAACCGGATTTGAATTGCGTATTTAGTTTTAAATGACTTTGGTGCTGTGGTATTCTGAGTTCATCAATTCAATCTCGCTTCACTGTTTCATTAGTGACATTAGCTCGTTAAAGCATACGCATTCTTAATCGATCTGCTTTGGCTATCCTTAATGCATTAATTTAGAGGGTTTTTGTACAGAAGGATTTAGCATCTTGCCTTTACTTTATTACATAATTAAATAGATAGTTGATGCCTCTCTTCTTAGGTTATGAAAGCTTGTTATTTCTTTCAAGAACCCTTTAGTTTTGAATGCTGAAGGAGCTTGAAGTAGGTGGACAATTTGGTTGCAGGGGGGTCTCTATTCCTGGCACTTATGATTGATAGATTACATCATTACATGAGAGAGTTGCATATACGGAGAAAAGGCATGGAAGTCATAAAAAAGCAGAGCAGAGCTATGGAGGAAGGGAAAGTTAGCAAGTCAGAGGAGATCAAAGCATTGGAAGAAGAAAGAACCAGCCTGCAGACCAAACTCAAACACTTGGAATTGGAACTTGAGTCGAAGGCAAAAGATGTAAGTGCTTCAGAAGCCAATGTAGTTGCTCTAAGGAAGCAATCTGAAGGATTATTGCTGGAGTATGACCGTTTAGTTGAGGAAAACCAGAACCTTCGTAGCCAATTGCAATCCGTGGATCGCAGATTGTCTCGATCGGGCAGCAAGAAGAACTCTTAAGGAACGGAATCTCACTTCTTCAAGTAGAAAGGTAAAGCACTGAAACAAGAATGGATTGTTACTCAAAACTGAAAAGAATTGTGATAAATTTCATGTTTATTATAGAGAATATCTTCGCTTCTGTCATTCCTCTGTCTGTAGCTGCTTCTTTTTTCATTATATAAATATACCATGAAGAATTTGGCCTCTCAAAAACATAAGAATACATATTGAAGGCAAACTCTAGTCTCCAGACAAGATATTAAGCTCAAATAAACAGAGATTCATCAACATCTTCACATTTACATGATAAATCCAAATATTTTCAATATGTCTTAAAAGTGTAAGACGAATTGAACCCCCACTGGCTAGAAGCACAAGAAACAAAGAACTGATAATACATAGTTTGTGATTATTGGAGAAACTATTAGTGAATGATACAATTTGGTTGCGAACAGAGGACATAGCAGGCAAGTCCCTCTTCTTAGCCTTACTGCTTTCTCTACTTATACTAACATTAATATAGTCCTGATCACCAACTCCATTTTTGGTTGCCATTTCGATGGACTGAGAGAAACAGGGAAATTCCAATACAGAGACGAACTCGCTTTGTTCTGTGTCTTCCTCTTCCATGGTAATGCTTTTCACTGTTACCCAGTCTTTGTCGCAATCCCAATAGGGTATTCTTGATGACTGAATTTTGGATATTTCGCTCAGTTGCTGTATCCTCTGCAATGGCGTTCTGTAAAGTTTTGGCATGATCGGACTTTGAACCGTTTCCGAATTGTTCGTCGTGTACCATGATTCTTGTTCCAAAATACTCGTTGGTGTTCTTGAATTCTGTTTGGGTGGAGATTTCTGCTCGTGAACAAAAGGGTGCTTCAAAAGCTCACTAACGGACCACCGTTCTTCTGGGTCTCTGATCAGACACCGCCGCAAAAAGTCCTTGCCCTGCTCGGACATGAACCTTGGAACCTCCGGAAAATCATCGCCGAACCCAATTTTGTAAATGGCGGCCACCGGATCAGATACATTCACCCATGGAGCTCCGCCGGTCACCATCTGGATCACCGCGCAACCCACTGCCCAAACATCAGCTGCAAACCCCTGTTTTTCTCCACGCGCCACTTCCGGCGCCATAAACATCGGCGTTCCGACCAAATCTCTAATGGAAGCCTCCTCTACCTGCCGCACGCAACCAAAATCCGCAATCTTAATCCCATCTTCACCGACTAAAATATTGCAACACTTAGTCGCAATGCACCACACCATTGGAATGAACATACTCGAGCCCACTTAAAATTTCTCGAGTATAAAATTGGGCCGTCGCCTCATCTAATCGGCCACCAGCCGCCTCCATCACATTCAAAATCGACCCACCAGGCGCAAACTCCATCAAAAGATTACACATCAATTCCCCATTTTCCAACGTAACATCAAATCCCTTATAAGCTATAACACGTGGACAATTGAATCGAGAAAGAATCCTCTGTTCCCTCTTGAGAAAATCCGAGCGAGTGAACTCAACGGACTTAACCGCCAGAACTTGACCAGAGCGAAGATCGGTGGCTACGGAGACCGCAGCAGAGGAGCCACGGCCTATGGTCGGACCTCTCGTCCACTCCATTGAGAAAACAGAGGTGCGCATGGATGGATGAGAAGAGAGAAAAAGAGGGAGCCTTTCATAGCTTAGACATACAGCGTTAGAAATGATTCAAAAATTGTTGGATGCGTAAAATTGAGTTGGCAAATTGGTAAGCTTCTTACTTTCGAAAAATTAATGAGTACAAATTAGAGGACCACAGCAAATAATTAAAGGCCTTTGTGTTTAAATAACACAATCTCACTAATTGGTGTTATTATTATATGAAGTTCCACTAATTACAGACATTACAGAAATAACATATACTGGTGCTCTCTTTCTTTTTTTCTTACTTAGTTATGAACTTCATTACATATGTATACATATTCTTCAAGCAGCCTCGGCAAATCCGACTCTCAATTTGCCAAAATCAAAGACTGTGTGATAACGTCCCATGAAAACGTCTCCGAGGATCCTGCATCGAGTGAGCACAACGTTGTTTAAACCAAAGACAAGAATCATCAGACATCAAGAAGACACAAATGGAAATACCAGAGGGGTCCACGAGGTGGAGGAATGTCCAAAGGTATGAATCCACTGATGC